CAGTGGCCAGGTGGGGTGGGGAGTCCAGGCCAGAGTCTTCCACGTTCTCGGGGGAGGAGGAGGAGAAGGGGGAGGGGCTGGAGGCCAGCAGGTAGGCTCGGGAGGCTGTGGGGAGACAGAGAGAGAGCGAGCGCGCAGGAGTGTTAATACGGGATTGGGGCTGTTGTGTCCACCCAGCAACCGAAAGGGCGGCGACGGCTGGGCACAAAAGCCAACGGGGCTGCTGTCCCCGCTGGACAGCTCCCAGGGTTGTGGACGAGAGGGGGTTGGGACAGGGGGTCAACACAGAGCAGACTTGCTATCCACAGATGCTGGTGCCCCCGCCTTGGAGCAGTGAGTGCCGGATTCCCCGAAACAAGGCGGCCCTGAATTGGAGCTCCCTGAGAATCCACCAAAGGTTATAGGCACCCCTCAAACCCACCTCCGCCAATCTGCCCAACCTACAGCCTTCCAGCACCTCTAATGGGGTGGGAGGCAAAGATGATTTCCCTGCAAAGGCGTGTGTGCAACTGGCTCAAATGCACGTGCGCACCCTACCGTGGGGCTAGAGGCTGTGCCCCAAAGGACAAAGCAATCTATCCAGCGGCTGCCAGCGACGGTCCCCCCACCTCCACGCAGCCCACAGCTGCTCCCTCACCCCCTGCCAGTGCAGATGCACTCCCCCAGCAGGGCAATCTGGGTTCCAGGGGCACGAGCCAGAGAGGCTCTGCGGGATGCCCCGAGCTCCGTGATGCCCCCGTGCCCGAATCCAGGCGGGGGCTGCCGCTCTGCTGGCGCACTCGGGCCCAGCCTGCTCCGTGCGAGCTGGGGCTGGAGGCGGGCAAGGTCTGTGGGGAAGCGAAGCGGAGACTCAGAAAAGCAGGAAGAAACACTTCCCACCCCCATCCTCATGGCTGGGCCCAGCTCACCCCTTTCCCCAAAGAGCCTCAGAAACCTGAGAGCAGGTGGGCTCAGTAAACCCACGACTGGCTCACAGGCACCCTGCTCGATCTGCAGCCTGGCGTTCTCAGAGGCCACAGGCAGCCTCACCCGCCCAGGCCCTTCACTTAAGAGGGGACGGTGGCACAGAGTGTGGTGGGCGTGTAGGAGAAGAGGAGGACGGCAGGTGGGCATTTGCAACCATTCCCGGCCAGCAGGGGGGCTGTGGCCAGCGGCCAGGACCACAAGCCCGGTAAGCAGCCCACCTGGGTGAGATTCCTGCCTGCAGCCCAGCTGGAGCGCTCAGGAGCAGCCCGGCTCAAGGGCAGAGCTTGTAGCTGGGCACGCCCTGGCAGTGCCCAATCTCAGGAATGCCAGAACTTCTGAAGGGAGGCAGCGGCTGTTTACCAACTCTAGGACTTTTACCCACGGCAAGGGCCGAGCACTGAAGAAGGCTCGTGGACCCGGCT